TCTTTTGCAATCTCCTTGAAACACTGGCAAAGCATCCAGAAAGTATCCTCATTACACTTGAAATTAACCATTTTTTTTTTCTGTAATGAGCATTTTGAATGATCATTAAGACTATTGGTTGCAGCTTCTTCTTTATAATACATTTTTCATGTTTCAAACCACTTTTATTTTTATTTTTTTAATGGATCACTTATGGTGCTTTGATTCATCATTATACAAACAAATGTTGCTTAAGTATAGATAAACTTAACTAACTGCTTTGAGCAACAGGATTCTGGCAACTGTGAGCAAGAGAGAGAGAGGCATTGTACAAACACACCCCAGATCCCTGTACTGTATTTGCTTTTTTCTAAAACCAGTTTAGCAGAGCCAGGATGCCTTGCTGTTGTCATGATTATGAAGGAGCTACTCATTCCTATCTTTCCTGTCACAAGCAGACAGGATGATGGCAAGAAAGTATCTCAATAGTACTGAACTGGTTTTAGAACAAAAGTAGACAAAATGCTGTAATACCCAAATTGGGACTATTCATTCCCTTGAGTCAGCATTGCAGGTAAATGGAATATCAATGGAACGTATATCTAATGAGAAAAACTGGACTGGAAAAATTATATGAAGATATCCTCAACCAAGTTTCATATTGGATTTTAATGACTGAGAACATCAGAAATTCCAGTGTATTAGGGAAAGCTGTTGTTGCAGATATCTATATACTTTATTCATTCCAAATTTCTTCTGAAAAACACATACAGTTGCCTCGCTTGCCAAACAAACTGCCTTATCATCATTGTAGAGAGTCTGTGAATCTATCATGTTCCCCCAACAGTAGATAATCTTGTTATACCAGTATTATTATACTCCTATCCAGGTTCTTTTCTCAGTGCCTTATTGCCTGAAATGATGTTAAAGGGTAAGTTTTATATCAACTAGTAAGTCTTCTAGGGGGACGTGGTGGCGCAGCAGCTTAATGACGCTGAAAGTTGCCGGCCAGAAATGGTCGATGCTTCAGCGGTTCGAGTCCAGCCTTCGCGTTAACAGGATGAGCTCCTGTTTGCTCCCCGGTTCCTGTCAACCCAACAGTTCAAAAACTCACGTGAGCAGATAAATGGGTACTCTCACTCCGGTGGGAGGAAAAAATGCTGGCGGCGCCTTGCAAAAGGAGTCAGGAGCAGTTGCCGGTAAGTGCAAAACCGCGCTCGCCCGAAAAGGGCGCAAAGCAACGGAAACTTCGCCTCCTGCGCTCGCCAGCTGGGCTCTGCTCTAGGAAGGAGGCTCTGGCAAACCAATGCCGAAACACCTTGCCTTGAAAACTGCAAGGACTCGTCCAAGCAGTTACTGCAGAGTCGGTAACGACTGAGCGCAGATTAAAAAAAAAAAAAAAGTAAGTCTTCTATGCCACATTTCCTAACACCTAATTCCACATAACAAAATAAATCCAGTATGTTTGGACCATGTAGCACTACTATTTTGAAGACACTTCAGTACCCTCTGGGATTAATTAAATGGCAAAATATAAACAATATAAATATTAAGAGCCACATCACTGAATTAAAATAATTAGTATATAAGAGCACATGCATATAAACATATAATCACGTTCATGTTTCCAGCCACTGTGGTGCTCCAGCAACTGCAGCTTGGTTTACACTATATTTTTGATCCAACTACATTCAGTAATTATAGATTCTGTTCAATTGGTTGTCTTTGAAAGTATTCAGTGGCCTTTTCAAAAATCATTTATTGTGACTCATGACTAACGTATAAAATAAAGTCAATTACAAATGATCAAATATAAATAGAACATTCAAGCTGCCCTATAATTACAAACAGTTCATAGTTTATCTAAAGTGGATTACTGTATATACATTTAACTATCTGTGCCTTAATATTACAAGCCATAGCATTAAATTTGGCAACTTTGTGACATCAATATTAGTTTTGAAAGAAGGAAGGAAAGAAACTGCCACAACGTTTTGTTGCAAGAGTTATAAAAAAGAGAATATAACAACAATATACACTACAGAGTCCATCCTTTCAACCATTTCAGGGAGGGGCAGAGATATTCAACAGACTACTCATGCAAGTCTCCCTTCCACTGCAGCAGAAGACATCAAAGTCAAAACAAGTCAGATTAAAGGCTTCCCTATACATAGAGACTATAAGATTTGAATGATACTCAGAGTAATTTTTTTTTTAGAAAAGTTCCCAATTGAAACAACAGCCTAAAATCAAGATTCTGTTCCTTTGGCGGTCTACATCTCAAACTCCCTGACATTCTCAAACAGAGAATAAAGAGGATGAGGGGTATATACGTACCTCCAGGGTTTATCTAGCATTCCCTTCCACTGGAGACAATGTCCTCATGCCAAACATAAGCGTGAGCTACAACTTGATTGTGTGAAATCAGGTTTGAGTCTCTAGAGATTATACCCAGCACACTCAGCATTCAGAACACAACGTGGCACTCAAAAACGGCCATAAGCAATTAGGGTTGTATTAACTCCAAAGGTGAGAAGTACACACAACTGTGATGCGCATTATCAGCTGGGATACCACCACGTCTTAACTGCAAATGGAATATATGCACTCCACTTTGTGTAGAAGGAACAAAGTATTGATGTAATGCATCTTTGGTTATTCTTCACTGCATTTGTTACTTGTGCCCTTCAGGAAGCAATATTTTGAAAAATAACGTCAAACTAGTTACAAGCCTTTAGCTGCTCAATATCATGACTGCTGATTTGCCACTTAAGTTTGATTTTGCTTCAAACAGAACCCTCCTTAATCCATTTGTTGTAAAGGACAGAGTAACTCTGTTGTTTATGTAAAGAACCCAGGGAAGAGGCAATTTGCCAATTCTGGAAGGTAAAACACAGGATCAGAAATAGTTTAGATTTATTTTAAAATTCAACAAGCAGGCCAAAATACAGCTGTTTTACACCATTCTGAGATCAGACTGGTAATGTCAGATGGAATTAAGAGCTGCACCTTACCTGTAAATTATTTTCTTGCCATTTGTAGATATGAACAAACAAACTTCAGTGAAAAGTAGATGCTCTCAATTTCTCCAAATGCCTATCTCTGAATATAGAAACAAATGCTCACTTAAACTCCACAAAGGAACTTAACTGGCCCCTTCATTACTTAACTGTGCAATTTTCAGCGAGATTTGTAGGATTAGGTACTTGTCTACTTAGGTACAGGCAACCTGACCTAAACCCTGCCTTTTCTTCACTGTACATATTGTCACAGTTCCTCAAGTTCCACAGATTCCAGCACAAACATTTTTTCAGGACATCAATGGGATGATAATTAAAGGATTCAGATTTTGTTCATATAATTCTGTACAGGAATTGTATTTCCTTGACATCAGTCTTTGAGTATCTAGGGAATTAATCAATAATTAGTATATAAGCAATTAATCAATGCTTTTGAAAAGGACAGCCAGCATTGGAGGCAACCAGTCAATGTATTTTAATCAATCTGGGAAAACGTAATTCCTACTATGATCATCATTCCTGTGTTTTGTCTGGCTTCAGATGACCCACTAATCTCCTTATTTTGATCCTTATTTATATCTACCTGATAAAGTTTTAAAAGAGAAATAGGCCAGTTTTGCTATATGAAGTTTTTGAAAATGAGTCTCCAATACATCAAGCCACTGTATGTGAGAGTCTAGTTTAGCACTATCCCTCAGGAATCCTCTGTGATAATATACCATAGTGTAGCCATATCATTGAGCTTGCATGTCTGAACTGTATCCAAATTTTCCTTTGAGTATTCTCCTCCTCCTCCCCCCTTGCTAGCATCCCACATTGACTCTTTCAAGATTTAAAAGGAAAAAATATCTGATGATCATTTATTTTATACAATTTGAATTGAGCTATAAAATAATTCTTTAATCAGTCCTGATATTAGGACATTGATTGAAGATAGTCCTCTCCTAAAAGTTCTTAGAAAGCTGAAATAAACTTCTGATTCACTTGCACATAACTGATTCTGGCGAATCATCAGTTCGAATGAAAAAGCAGAAATGAAAAGCATTCTCTGTGGCAAAATACTATTAGGCTCTGTTGGTTGTCTTTTTGCACTATCATGTTTTTACGTGTCCTTCAACTACAAAGGATCAGCATCAAAGTTATTCACTATATGGTTATTAATTTTAATTAAGAGAAGTGATCACTTTCTATATGAGCCTCCATTGTAAGGTGGCCACTGTGGCAAAAAATGAATGTGAAACCAGTATATGACATTAAGACTAGATCTCCATGGATCAGTATGCCTAACTATACCACTGGAGATGAATAGGTCTAAGTTTGCAAGCTGAACCAAGGAAAATCCTGCTACGTTACTGTACATCTCATATCTTTAGTCAGGCAAATAATAGATGCTCATCTTCCTTGGCTAATGGAGGGAACTGAGCCAAATCATGAGTACAAGACTCCATCATATGGACCAATTCAAGTTACCTGTTACCACTACTGTGACATCTGGGTGCTATACTATTAAATGTAGGAAATACTCCTCCAGCTTATGCCAGATGCCTTGAATCCAACATTGAAGCCCCAGAGAAAACATAGCCAGAAACAGAGAAAACAGGCCAAAGTTAACTTGTTAGATGGCTTTAGTTTGGCAATACTGGTCTTTTAAAATTCGCCCAGATTTGAAGATTGCATATAGGTTGGTTTCCCACAGCATGATAAGCTAAAGTGTAACTAGCTTATGATTATGGTATATGGTTCAACGTGCCGTGTGAATGCAGCCTATCATGTCCTTGACGGCCACCTCTTCATATTTAAATGTGTGGACATAAATATTTTAATCGAAAAAACTCCAACAGGAGGAATGAACGCGGACTTTAATACCTTACTACTACACTGAAAGACAGGACCGTAACCACCTATTCCAACAAGACGCCCCGCCCCCAGGAACGCGAGCGGGAGGGCAAAATAGAAACCAGAGCCTGGCGCGGCTGCCGGAAAGCGCGATGTCGCGCTGCCGGCAGTGACGCTTGCTTTGCGCCCGAGCCGGCCCCTGGGAAACTTAGTTGGGAAACCCTGTTCTTTCTTTCGCGATCGCTTTTGCTGAAGGTGGGTGGAGGTTGGTCTCTCTCGTCCAGGCTTTTCCGCGGGGTGTCGGTCCGGTCGCTCACCTTCTTTGTCGGTTTGTCTTTCTCTTCCTCAGGCGCCATGCCGGCCAAGGGGCCCCTCCAGAGCGTTCAGGTTTTCGGCAGGAAGGTGAGGCTCGCGTGGTTCTTGGAACGGGCCTAGCTCGTTGTCTCCCCTTCCGCCATGAAAAGCCGAGAGATTGGGGGGGCAGCGGGATGCTGTTGCTGCCTGAAAGCTGCCTTGGCCTGGCCGAGCTCCGGCGCTGAAAAGTATTTCTCGTTTTTCATTTCCTGCGCGCGCCATGGCGCTGTTCCGCGGCCACGTTTTCCCACTTGAGTGGAGGGGATCTGGCCTAAGCCTCGGCGTAGGAGAACGGGCTTCCTTAGCGGTTTCTCTGTTCCGTGTGCAGCGCTTTAACCGCGGCACGTGGGGTGGAAGGACGGATAAGCAGATGGCTGTTCTGGGGGTGGGGTTGAGTGGGGGCCGGCCCTATTTCATGTTGCCCCAGGGACAACTTGGGGTCCTCTGGTTGGACTACAGTTCCCGTCATCCTTTGCCGTTAACCAAAACGACTGATACCATGGGAATTGTCCATAATCTCTGGAGAACACTGGGTTGCTCATCTTTGCTGAAGAGCCATCGTGTCCAGCTCCTGCGTATGCAAGGCTCTTCGATATGTTCATGTTCAAATTTGTGGCATAAGCTCAGTGACTTCGCTGTAGCAAATGCTTATCGCAAAGGTTTCCCATTTCATTTTGTAATCACTGGACTCCTTTTTTGTGTTTCCCACCAGTTGATTGATAATTGCACCTATAACTTAGGTTTCTTGCTTCATGACAACAAGTGAAAATGGGATGGATAAAAGCTTCAGTTGATTGGTTTCAATAGTGAGATATATACAGTGATAATTAACAACGGTGTGTAGTGGAATATTCTAGATGTTTATTCTTGATAGCTGATACTGCTGATCTGTCTTCAATGCTACAATTTTGCTTAATATTTTTTATTATCATCCCCACCCCACCCCCATTTAGAAAACTGCTACTGCAGTTGCTCACTGCAAAAGAGGAAATGGACTTATTAAGGTGAATGGACGGCCTCTGGAAATGATAGAACCTAGAACTCTACAATACAAAGTAAGTCATTTTAGGAACATAAAACATAATCATAATAGTGTATGTATAAACTAATAACTTTTGCTTCCTTTATTTAGTTTTTCCCCCTCTTCTGTTTTAAAAACTTAATTCCATGTGAAAGGACAGTGAATTTCAAATGGGTTTTGAATTATCCTTTGATAAATAGACTTAGCATTTTTGTAAAAACTATTATCTATATTATTCAGAATCCCTAGTACAAATTAAACTTCCAGTATTTTGCATATGTTCTTTGGAAAACTAGACAAAAGAGGTATATTGATGTATTGCTTCCTATCAGGGGTACTCTTTAGTCCTGGAATACCTGTGTGCTGTAATACACTAACTGAAAACTAAAACACTGAAGGCAAATAAAAATTGTTCTATTTATTTCTGTGTCATTGCATGCAAGTTAGTTGTAACTCCTGGAGTTACTTAAGGCTACTGTGTTCCAGTATACTAAGGAAACAACTGAAATGGGTGAATTGTTAAGATGGTTAAGAAGGTAAGCTAAATTAAATGGCAAGATGTCAGTTGAAAATACTATATATTTTCTATCATTTCCCTCGGTGATGTAAGAATAGTAAATTCAAGGAATACCAATAGCCTGTATTCTATAAATCTTATGTATGTTTACTCAGACATTTCTGCATTAATAATTTGTTTTGGACTAAAACTAAATCCTTTTTTCCCCAGCTGCTTGAGCCAGTACTTCTTTTGGGCAAAGAGCGCTTTGCAGGAGTTGACATAAGAGTCCGTGTGAAGGGTGGTGGTCATGTGGCACAGATTTATGGTATGAACAGCTCATATTTTGCAAGTGGAAAAAGTATATTATTAAATGTATCAACTATCCAAATGTAATAATGTGTGTACTTGTAAAATGTATTATCAACCAGTATTAATCTGTTTATAGCCTTTTCTAGCCTGGTGTTCTCTGGATTTATTTTACTGGCTGCTAGCTAGGTTGATTGATATTCCAGCTTATTTATAGGGCATCAGTTTATGGAAGTCTGCTGTATTGTATTTGTTGATTTATTCTGTATCAGATTATTGCTCTTTATAATTGCATATATATGTATATAGGTATACTTACATAAACCTGAAATACTAATTTGCCCCAAAGACCCCACAGTTAAGATCTCTGGCTTAACTTTTACTAGCCACTTACAGCTTTTTTGTTTTAGTTTGGTATTTTATTTTACTTATTTCCTCTACAGCAATTCGGCAGTCTATTTCCAAAGCACTGGTGGCTTATTACCAGAAATGTAAGTTTTCATTACCTTTATTCTTGGCTGCTTTTCATCTCATTTAAGACCAATTGTATACAATATTAATATATATGCTCAATATTAAGCACCATTCAAAAAGTTTGTTCCTTGCTGCTTCCTCTAAGTTATCTTTCCTAAGCTATATTAGGGCTGATTATAAACAGTAGCTTCAAAGTTTAATACAGGTGTTCTTTTATTTTCTCAAGATGTTGATGAAGCATCTAAGAAGGAGATAAAGGATATCCTCATCCAGTACGATAGGACCCTTTTAGTTGCTGATCCTCGACGTTGTGAGTCCAAGAAGTTTGGTGGACCTGGTGCTCGTGCACGTTACCAGAAATCTTATCGTTAAAAGGAAACTTTTTTGTGTATTTGAAATAAAGAATAACATTTAATAACTTGTGTTTGTGAGAAATATATTTCAATCTGTTCTTGTGACTTTTCAAGGGAATGCTTAATATATTGCATAAGATACAGAATGAATCTGTCATGTGATTAGAGTCAGTTTTAAAATTCTATATTGCTAATGATTGGACAATTAACACTTTGCAGAGAGGGTAATGTCCCTTTAATGGATTAATGTTTCTACAGTTAGCTTATTTCAACTATTGCCTTTTAGTGCAATCTTAAGTGTTTTCTCAAAATGAAATATCACTAAATGAGACACGATCCCTTAAAAGGATAGATTAAGTTGGGTTAACACTTAATAATTCCACCTTGTGTGAATAGGAGGCAAGCCATTAATTTCAGTTTCCCTGCCTGGTCTTCAGCTACATAGGCTTTTCTCCAAACTTGCAGGACAGTTTGGAAGAAAGTCCTCCATTCAGTGGATGCTGCAGATTGTAGCACTAAACTCAGTAGTAAATGTTTTTACCACAGTGCAACAAAGCATATGGAGAATTGTGGACACAGTAGTAAAATAATTATCTAATATGTTATAATTACTATGTATATGTTTTGTATAACTCATTCTTGAATTGCAGAAGTACCTAATGTCTCCCAAGTACTGTACTGCCGGATTCTGTATCTTTGTATGCTATAGATATTAGTTTATAATGCATCAGGTTTGCACAAAAAGTTCTTCGTCCTGCCTGTAGCTCCCTCTGTGGTGAAAGAACAATAATATTTAACTCACAAAAATGCAAATACATTGTCCTAAGCACAATTGTCTTAATCATATTCCTCATAATTCAGTTGACAGCAGCTAACTAAACTACTCTGATTTTGAAAAGTTAAATGGGGCTGGAACTGATTAATATTTGGGTGAGGGACCACCAGGAAATCCCAGGGCTGAAGACTAGATTGGAAGTTGAGAAAAAATCCTGGAAGAAAGCAGTAGGAAAGCGCTTCAGTTTTACCAAGAAAACAACATGGAAGTGTCAAATCACTAGAGCTTAAGGGAAATTGTGGTACTTAAGAGAATTTTGAGGGGGAGACAAAGGCTTCATATCTATTCAATGCATCCCAAAGAATTTTGAAATTCTCAATTATCCAAATCTCTAAAAGGCAGGGGAATTTGGGGTTTGAGAAAGATTGCTAGTGATGACTACAAAACTAAATGCCTCTCATTTATTTAGCTTCAAATTGTTCATACAACTTCTAAATGATTTTTTTTTTTTTTTGTACCTTAACTGGTGGGCTTCTCCAATTCCATTCATTGCCTGCAAGTACATTTTTATCTCCTAACCATTGATAACAGTTCTGCCACATTCCAGAACAACATTTATTTCCTATCAGTCTGAAATCAAAACAAATTGCTCATAGTCTTGGAATTCTGGTAATGTTTATATGTTGTACAAATTTGATATGTTTATTTTAAAAAGGATGCTTTTAAGTATGTAAGGCAACATTTAGTTATTGAAGATAGAAGACCTGAGCTGCATCTTCAAGTTACACCTGTGTTCATTGGTAGTTTGCATGTTTTTTCCAAGCGTACTTATGCGTCAGCAGACACTTCTAAGCATATATAAGAGATCATCCTGTTCCATTTTTCCCCCCCCAGAAGATATTCTCTTCGTATTCTATAAACAATAGTGTTTGCGTTCCAGTTCTAAATAGAACAGAAGTGAGGAACTTGTATTTCCAAACCTTATTCTAGCAATACAGACAGCAAGGCAAATGTGTAGTATGTAGAAGCAAAACAGATTCCTTCGTGGTTTAGAACTTTTCAAGCAAGGAGCTGTTTCTCTTATGGTTGGGAGAGCTCTTTAGTATATGTTTTCTAAAAAACAAATTATATTTTAAGAGAAATGTCTAAAAGAAATTGCTTATCCTAAAAGATGGAAACATTTTAAAAAGCACTTTAATGACTAAAAAAAAAAAAAGTGAAACAATTCATTACTACAAAATTAATCCACTTGCATTTTGCTCTCAATCCCATATTTCTGTTTGGTATACTGAACACACAGTAGGTACATTTGGCTATCACTTTGAGAACAAAATCCCATTAAGCAATCTTTCAGTTACATTGTCAACATGGTTAATGTATGCTAAGCCATGGTTTGTTTATGATTTATTGCATAAACCACAATTGGCTAGGCTCATACAACATGCTCAAATGGTTTCTATATACATGCTAACTGAAAATTAAACTAGTATACCTGGAAATAATGCATGGGTATAGCAGAGATCTATGTTGCCCCCCTTCCCCTGATGATGATGATCCAGAAGGCCTTAAAAACATGGCTGTTCTCCCAGGCCTTGGGGTAGGATGCATGTGAAGCCCTGTATGTGGCGATTTTGTTAGAGGGAATGGGTTTTTCCAGGCACATGGGGTTTCTTTGCTGTTCCTTATTGTTTTTACTTCATGTAAGCTGCCCAGAGTCATTCTGAAGTCAGGTGAAATAAACAGTTTCCCTAATAATTATTTGCTGGCATAAAACATTTCTGAGCACTGGACACAATGGCTTTTTATTTCCAGATAGATTGGTTAGGAAGATAAAATATTGCACTCACCTTTTTGAACATTTTTGCAGTATTTTGCTGTCAAAAGGGATGTTAGCTAGGTCCCAAACCTGGCAACTGCTGACTGTAGTGAAGAAGAAATAGAAGAAACAATCTAGAAAATGAGCTGGAGGAGTAAAATAATAGATTTGGTACCGCTTTCACACAAGTGTTAACAAAGTATGTTTCCAGGTGAAGGAACATCCTGTAAAATAACATAGTAGGCTTTGTAATGCTCTTGTCATATGATAAGATGTATTCCTACATACTAAGTGGATACATTACTGGATTTGTCTTTTCTTCCTCGTTTCCCCTTGAATGTTTCTTTGTAGTCTCTGAAATTTATTAAGTGATTATGTTCAAATGAGTGATGTCCAAGCACTTGATAATGATTCCCCATCAGAACTGATTTAAGCTTGGTGATTGGTTTAAATCAGAATTGATTTAAACTTTATTCTATTTGTATACTGTCAAATTAATAAAGACCCATAGTGGTTTATAGCAATCCAGTAAAAACATTCAACTAATTAAAATGTCCATGGTAAATACAATTAAAATTGTGAACAATAAATAATAATGGAGAAAAATAATGAACACAACAAAAATATAAGACAAAATGAAATACAACAAATTTTTAAAAGCATCAACCGTTAACTAGTAACCAAATGTACAGAAGACTTCTGTCTTAAGCAGCTTCTGGATCAGTGTGACTCTTAATTCCAAGGGGAGGCTCTTCCATAAGGGAGCAGTAACCGAGAAAGAGCACCAAAATGTGATCCATAGTAATGGATCCATTATAAAGAAAACTTCCCACTTTTCAGTCACAGAGATCCACAAAATAGCTAACAATATAGAAGTATCTGTAAAGTAAAAGTAAAAATCTATCTCAAATTACCTCTTCTGTGGAGATGGAATGGAATGAAAATGGCCAAAATGCCATAATATTCTTCTAGATTACTTGTGAAGAATACCAGAATGTCAGAAAGAAAACTCTGTTCCTGTTTTAGGATCGGGATTACAATTTGATTGCATGCTTGCTAGTTACTTGCACTCTGAAAACACCACATTATTAATAATTTTAAAAATATTTTACTAAATGTTTGAATTCTGAATATATATAAAGGAAGATAGTGGAAGTTGATTGCTAGAGGCTTCAAAGCTGATGTGCAAAACGATCTCTTAAGTATTGTGGCTTGGCAGGTCTGCTCTCCCCAAGCATTATAAAGGATTGATTCAGTCCCAGAGAGGAGTAGGAGCGTAGGGGCTCATGTAACTAATACTGATGCCGATCGCCATGCATTGCTAATGAGAAAACTCTGGCCAAAGTATCTGCAGTATTTTCAAAGTTCAAAAGCTGTACGCAGCTAGCTAGTTTCATCCCCCTCCCTCTTTCCATTTCACTTTATCAAATTGGAAAGACCCTGGGAAGGATAGTGACTTTTAAAATGTCATCCTAATTTAGGGCACCAGTTTGGACACTTTTTACTTAAGCAGCTGCACTGAAATGAACGTTGCGAGAAAAATCAATTTCATGATACTGTGGGACATTTTTTGGGTTCACATTCTGTTTTCAACCTTGGAAGGTAAGTTTTTGTTTTTTGTTTTTTTAATTTAACCTTGTTTAGAAACGTTTATGAAGATGTTCTTTATTTTTTTTCTTTTTGAAAAAAATAATATTTAGAAAAGTGAAAAAAACAAGCGTTATTTTATCTTTGCTTTGAATCTAATTGTATTATAATACCATTAAAAAGAAGTTTCAAATATATTCTTTGGATTAAAAAGAAGACTGGCTATGTTTACTAAGAACTAAGTCCTATTGTATTCAAAGGGTCTTACTTCAAGGAAAATATGCATGGGTTTGTATTGCACATATGCTACTCTTCTGCATAACAAATTTACTTTTTCTCACACTAGCTTTGACCTTTGGGTTAACTGCAATGTGTTGAAATGCCAGTATAAATGTTTAATTAGTAATAGCATTTTTGTGAATGATTCTGTCATTCTTGTTAGGTAGATGAAAGGGTATTTAAGGAATTTAAAAATTCCCAAGTATAGCAAAACTAAAAATACTATAGGTGATTGGAGTTCAAAAGATTCATGTTGTAATACATGTCTATGGTATGTTCTAGAACAAACTACTAAAAAGTCATTTTTGCCAGCTAAGGATTCTTGTATTTTATGAATGGACAGACAGGCAGATGACAGTATATTTACATAATACAAAAACTGTATTATGTAAACACAATTCATCTTCCATTTTCATGTTATTTTAATATGAATTCAAAACAGATTCAAGTTTTTTTTTAAAAAAAGCAAATCTTTGTCCCTCTTAATAATTAAAGTAACATTTTACTTTTGAGAAATATTTAACATGGAAGATGGGTGGAAATTTTGTTAATCCTTTTTGAAAAAACAAATCTTTTCATTTTAAAAACTGAACTCCAATAAAAGGTTGCTTTTAGAGCTCAGTCTATTGAGAAAAATTCCAGAAGAGTGTGAGAGAGAAAGAATGATTGATTTTCACTATTTTTATCTAATAGAGTCTATCTGTGAATTGCATCTTCTGAAAAGAACTGTAAGGTGAGTTTGAATTCCTGTTTGTTTTGATAATAAAAACACATTCAGTTGGGGAATACAACATTGTACTAATATTTTAGAAGTTTAAGAAATTTTAAAAAAAACTCCTTACCAAAGCTGTTTTAAACAGTTTTTACAATAATTTCAGTGTTTTTCAAAGCATGAACTGTCAGAGAAGGATTGCCAAAAGACATTTATATAATGAACATGACAAATTATAATTGTCGAAATCAATATAGGGCACGCCTTTACATTTGAAAGGGTGTGATTTTGAGATACTACTTGGCCACTGAGAAATCTCAGATATGAAAAGACTTAATTGTACTAGAAGGTTTTGAGACAATTTAGGTATTTTCTGATCAGATTTTTTTAATATGGATCTTGGAAATCATGCATAGGATCCCTTAGCTGTTGCCTTAGACCACCTCCCACTTTTAAAAATTATGGAGGACCCCAAAAGAGCTTTTGTTTCTATCAGTTGTATTTATATATATTTACCATATTAAAAATTAAAATTGACACATTTGTTGATGTTACCGCTTCTCACAATTGTTTGATGGGATTTTAATCTTGTGTTATTTTTAACATAGGCTGGTAAAGATTTTGCAGAGACCTGTGAGGGTCTTGGGGAACCCCAGGGGTCCTAGGACCACACTTTAAGAAACACTGCCTTAGATCATACATGCCTAGCCTGGCATGATCCAGATTCCCAGGTCACAAAGCAAATACAATACTATGGTAATTGTATTGATAGTAAAGGGTGG